GGAAATCGGAATAAAAGAAATCTTTCTCATAATTTCGGTTCTCCCGCGGATATCTGGCCGTATAAGTCGTACAGCAGTGTTTTTCCCCAAGGACAACTACAGCCCCGTTATTTTGAATGAATGACTTTATGACATGGCGGCGATTTTGGTCGAGGAAAACAAAGCCAAGAATTCAGCTCGGCCAAAGAATCACCAAAATAACACCATATGGCATATATCTTTCGGAAGGAGTGGGTGAAAGAACCCTAGACTCGAAAAAACTCCGACTCTGGACGGTATTCAATTTCGTGCACAAGTAATTTGAGATCGGGCGTATAACTTGATACATGGCAGAGCGTGGTGGAATTTGCTGCTACGTGGGCCGGGAAAAAAGCCTCAAGTGGCACGATTTTCAATGAAAACCGGGATCCCGGGCTTGGGAGCGACCTGGGCTGACCCAAGGGGTACACTAGCGCGACTGAGTACGTGATATGCTTAAGTCTGCGCGTGGCAGATTGGTGGTCTGCATAAGGTAAAGGATAAAGCATTTGCCGTTGATCAATCCCTTTTGGGATGCGGCACGCATTCTACTTCCATTTGTACATTCGCAGTGGCATTTGAATGCGATGTGGCCTATACAATGACTTGCGGGGGCCAGCCGATGTTCAAGTCAGTGTTTTTATCCTCCCAGACAAGTCTGGTACCAATTAACCGACCCCGGAGGGATGGAAGGCTTGGTTGGCCCGGGCGACTCACGACCCAGGATTTGATCCCGGACCGCTCGCTGGAGTGCTGCCACTTGTCCCTGCACTCACTTCGCCCTCTGGGGTTCGGCACCCATAACAATCCCAACTCATGGGATCGATGCCATAAATGAGTGATGTTGTTAATGGATGCGATATCGATTGACGCGTTTGCTTCAGTCATCGGACTTCCCACCACCACTGCCAAATGCTCTGCGTGTATATCTGGAAAATGGTCAGACAAGGTCTTTCAGATACGATGATTCAACCACAGTCAAGGTAGAGGGTAATCCCTCGAGTTCTTCAGAACGCCCCAATCGATTATCGATTTTTAGGATATTCTGAATTCAATCTTCTCCAAGCTACAACTGCGGGCGAAGCAATATTTTGCGCTCGCTATTGAATACTCCTTAGGTGCTCGATCGAGTCGAATCAGTTTGCTGAGACCTGAGACAAAGATCGTTACGGTAGGTATCTTGTGCCTGCAGTGTGGATTACGGTAATGATACTGGTCCATTTAGATATCCGGATGCCAAATTCTGACCATCTGCGATGTGTGTTCCGATTTCGCGTTCATCCCAAAGGATATCGAAGCGCTATGGTTGGAAGACCCTCGAGCTCTCGATTACTACTATCAGCAGTGCACAGCCGATGTCGTGCGAGGCCGATATGCATTTGAGATGAGGTTGGCGTCAGAGATTTTGTCTCGTCCGCGAATGCGGACCTGGTCTGAAGTGTTCTTTTAGGTATGAGGCCTGTGTTCGGTTAGCAGCCCTTCACATGCAGCAGGTTACCATCGAATCGAATCTGCTCAAGGAGAACAATACCGTCTCATTGACTAGATTAGTGTAGTCCACTACTAATTAAAGGATAAAGGATAAAGCATTTGCCGTTGATCAATCCCTTTTGGGATGCGGCACGCATTCTACTTCCATTTGTACATTCGTAGTGGCGTTTGAATGCGATGTGGCCTATACAATGACTTGCGGGGGCCAGCCGATGTACAAGTCAGTGTTTTTATCCTCCCAGACAAGTCTGGTACCAATTAACCGACCCCGGAGGGATGGAAGGCTTGGTTGGCCCGGGCGACTCACGACCCAGGATTTGATCCCCGGACCGCTCGCGTGGTAAGCGCGCCACTTGTCACTACACCACTTCCGCCCTCACCCACCAATAATGATAAATAAAAATAATAGTATTTCGACAGTTAGGTTATAAATATTTTCTTGAATTTAATTTAGCAACAAAATAAACATATAGTCAGGGAGTTCCATTTTCATTGTGTACTATTCGCGACATAACCTCCTATCCAGAAAACCGGAAAAGAGTGTCGAGTGTCGAACTAAACCACCAGACCAGCAGCCGCCATCACATTCATCCGAAATGTTCCCATGTCTGAGTTAACGCCTAACGCCTGACTGCTACCACACTTTTTCGTAGCTTGCTGATGATTATTCCTTTCTAAAAGTGGGCGGAGTTCCCCACGGCAAAAATAAACCTCTCACTGATAGGTTTGAGCTACTATCACGCTCTACATATAACGTAAAGATGAGCAGACGACTTTGGTCTCTCAAGGCGTTCAGCCGCTGTCCACTTTAAAGGTGTCGAAATGAACCTTCCTTTTTTCTCTCCCTGTGGCTCCTACTTTACTTTCACAATAAGTTTCACTTAACGCCAACAGATAACCATTACCCATCGCTGGCTTACCCTAACCACTAAACTAGCCACATTTCAGATCTGAATATGGCCTGAACTCATTTTTGCCGTCGATTCTACTGGAAAACGTGAAGCGTCGGGAAATTCGGAAACACGTCCGTTATTATCTGAAGAAAGATAGTGTAAAGTTGAGCGAGAGCTTAACAAAACAAGGCTCACGATGTGACGGGCAGCAATGTGAGTTGTTTGGGCGGAGCTTCCTCATCGGTAGGCGGAGTTCCCCACACTGAACACCGAACGTTTCAGCCTTTCTCTCATTGCGGGTAACCGATCCGTCGGTATCATTACGTGTACGTTATTTGGATCTGCTCTCACATCTGCCGTCATTTGGAGGACGAGGTTTTTCGGTGACTTTCAAGGAAAGCCAGATCGATATGATTATGCAGGTAATCGATTGAGTGAACTCACTATGAGAATGAGAAATCGATAATTGATTTCAGATCGATCCTCGAATAGGACTACTCGTTCGGCATCCCGGCAAAACGGGTCGACCGACGATATCGATTGATTACGATCTTATTGATCGGCTAGTGGTTCGACGAGATTCAGAAATTTCGTCGTTGATCAGTATTCGACTGAAAAGCAATCCTGACCAGGTAATTGACATTTTCTTTGTACCGTAACGGTCGTGTTAACCTTTGGAGGGGCACAATTATTCCTCTGTAGGTGTTTCGATTTTGGAACCATTTCAGGGCCTTGAATTCCTCGTAGACAAAGATGACATCGATGACCTCGTTGGCTACATCTGCGGCTATCAGTTGATCCATTGTAATCGACAACTGGCTTGCGATTTCGACGAAACTCCGCCTTCTCAAATACAACCGCCAACTAACCGTGAGTTTTTCGACGCCATTTTGAAAATTGTTCACTGATACGTCAGGTCCCAGGAAAGTGGGCGGGGTTTGTTCGTGCAAAACCACGCCCCTTTTGCTTGTGCATCCGTTTTTGTTGTCAATAATCCCAGACACCGAGTTGATAATTTACGCATAAGTCTCCGTATCAGGTTGTAGGATTACTGCTGTTATTGCTCTATTATACTACGAGTAGAAATTTTAGCTCCGCCCTACTCGGCTGTTCACAAAGTGATTCCATGCGGATGGAATTACTCAAGTGATATCACTTCAAGTGATCAGGTTAGAAACCCATCTTAATAAAATCTGGAGGTTATATCATACAAAGAATTTTATAAACAATCAATAATATCCGTAATGATTTGTTTTTCTTGCGTTGAATACCTAATGTTACAATTACCCGTCAATGTATTGCTATAAACATGGAATTACTGTTTTTATAAAAGAATCTACGTATATCATTGTTACGGGCTGTTGAGAAGTTGAAGAGAAGGTTGGCTAGCGCCTTGTGTGCGGGGCCTCAGTTTGAAGATTTGTCACCCATGCAAGGGGATGACCTATCCAGAGAGCCAAGAAGTCTTGAGTATCTACGCTGTCCTATCAACGTCATGGTGACTGCTCATACCAAAAGAGGCTACTCTCAAAGATTAGGAGAGCCCTGCGTAAAAAATGGGCGCTCGATTTAGGTGAACCTGTCATTTCTTAATGAACTAATCAACTGCCACGCCAAGCTCCACTTCAGTTTTTAGCACTTTATTCTGAATTTCGACTATTTTTAGTAGATTTCCCCGCTTGCTTACTTATTAGAATTACTGTATCCATAGCTTACCGAACGAAACATGTCTCCAATGTAAAACCAGAAAAAAAGACCACTTTTTTTTTAGAGCCTTGATTTGACGTCCGAACCACCACCATACGAACTGGCGAATTCATTCGCCGAGTCACTGGATGAGAAGAGAACGGCTAGCCATAGTCCAAAGTCAGAGAAAAGGTGAGATTTGGTTAAAATACATAGAATATGAAATGCCTTGCAGTGGTTGGTTCGCGCGCACTTCAGGGCTGTAGCCGTACTTTGACTTTGCCGAATTCGGCATGCTGATATGGATCAACTCATAAAATGGTGGGTGGACCCAGTCAAGACTGATGCGAAGTAGCCGTAGACCTAGGCTCACCAGGACGTGATAAGGCAAAGTTCGGGCTCAGACCCACCTAATAAGCCCTTAAAGTGGCTAGAAGTGCATGGGACGCAGCTGCAGGCGACTTGCCAAGTTCCCGCATCCAAATGCGTCACTAAGGCGCTAGGGGCCAAGGACTTTGACACGCTCCACCTGTTGCGACACGCTCCGCCCACGCTCGATATTTTGTCTGCGTCGCAATGCTGATCTGCTATGCTCTCTCTTCTCGGATTCTCTACCGCTCTCCGCGCTCACATTATCTCTCATCTCCCTGCCGGCCTTTTGAACTTCTCACGTAGAGCAAAAGGCTCGTATTTCCTGTGTATTTCACGAATTTTTTCCTTTTTTCTCCACTGGCGGTCCACCTCCCACCCCTACATCACATTTGAGTAGAATTACCTCATCAGTTTAAGCTTGAATCTTGCCTTTAAGCCCGGACTTTGATCCAGTAATCACTCTTGTGGAAAAGGCGCCTTTTGTTACTGTCCCACATCTGCCCATGGTCCCATTCAGTGCATACAACTTTAATGTTTGATTTATATTGATCACCGGTTTTTGCTGATTTTTTCTTCTTAAGCAGGTCACCAGTGTCGTCGCGACGAAACTCTGACGTCACAAAGAAGCTGCTCAAAGCCACCGATTCACTTTTAACGAAGAACTGCCAGAAGTTACAGCGAAAGGAAAACGGCAGTCCATTAGCACCAAGGTACTTACAAACTCTCCATACATTGTTTAGGTCATGATGGCTCCGATTTGAAGCTAAAGAAACAAAAAAGAAACATCATGCGGAGGCGAAAGCGGGGTGATCGGAATCCAAATACGAAGCTCTCTAGTGTAGGTAAACGGTCGGTATGAGAAAAAATAAAGAAAACCCTCATAAATGTGCCAACAAGAGAACCTTTTCTGGGCGTGATAAAGTCTGTGAGAAAATGTGTAAGAGACGACACTGTACGCGGATGAGAGAAAGCAGACGAGAAGACGAAATAGCACAAGGAACAGGCGAGACGCAGACATCAGCGGCAAGCGTGAATAGATAGATGGGAATAGGAATGCAAGTCATGAGCCTGTCACGCGTTTTAAACTTTGCTATACTTTGCTCATCACACCTTATTGAAAGTAGGGACTCCCTCAAAGAACTAACTGCAATACTTGTCCTTGCGCTGACTCAGTTTAGCCACTGAACAGACGAGATCTGATCATATGGAACGATATAGTGCGATGTGGCACCTTTACCCTCTTATTTTCATAAAATTTCTCATAAAAGCTATTTTTGTTTGAGTAGTACAACATAATATTGCTTACTTGTCTCAGATCGGCACGTCAGATGGAATCAGTGTCCGACTCGTCGGATGCAGAAGACTCGTCGTGGAGCAGTCCTGTAAGAAGTCCATTCATTGATGGCGCGATCAGGAAGATGATGAATGGGTAAGCCTAGCACCGTGAATAGCCTCATTGGGAACATATGGACCCTCACAGTTTTCTCTGCCTCTCGACAACTGTAAAGATCTCATTCTCTCCATCAATTTTAGACCCCCAGACGGAATGGTGTACGAGCCCGGCCGGCGAGAATCCATCGAGACAGAGCAGTAGCGTTCAGCGAACAGGTAATCCGTAATCTGCTTGATCTTCTACTAGATCACTTGGAAAAATTGCCAAGCTTTGCAGGTTCCCAACCTGGAGACGCTCATTCTCTTCTATCAGGACAGTAACGGAGTGAAATCAAAAATGGCTCAGGTCAAGGAAAATGGAGCTACTGCAGCAATCAGGTAGGGATACCGTTATTCCTTTCCTCTTAGCTCTTCTGATGGGGCTTAATGCTTTCTACAGTGCAGGAACTTAGACCTGAAGTAATACCAATTCCTTTTAAGCACTTGTTAATTTTCTTCAATCCTCCAGGTTTCTTTGGGGGGTTACTGCTCTACTCTTAACCTTAGTACAATGTTTCCGAAAGTCTTCTCTGCTCTTGTCAGCCTTTTCTTCGATTAACAGTAATATGCGAGCTCAATCTTGAAAATGAGGCAATCGGGTCTTTAACAATTTCTTCCAGCTAGGGTTAGTCCGACGTTAAGTACGAAATGAGACTTTTGCAGAAACTGGGTCCTCACTGGATTGGATAAATCGGCTTTTCATAAAGTTCACCCTCGAGTGAAGTGAGTGCCATAGAAAAAAATGCACTGAATAATGTCAGTCCCTGAAAGGTTGAATTGCTGTATTGAGCTTGAAGACACTTACAGAGAGCGCAAAAAGGCCCCATTACGTCATCAGGTCTCGGAATTTTTCCAATGAGAACCAATATTGGGGAGCGCCTGGCTATAACGTGGTTTCTCCTCGTAACGATAGGGCTGAAGCGTTCTCGTTTCAACAGAAAGACCGCCAACGTCAACGAACAAGCTGAGCGCTCAGATGACCGCCCGTCAGTGGCATGCAGAACCTCGTTCGAAGAAATGGTTCCGCGTCAGTGATCGGGGCAAACAACTCGTTCGAAAAATGGTTTTAATTTGGATGCTGAAGCAGGTCTTTGTTGTCTCTTTGTTGCTCACTTCGCACCAGCACAATATGGAGGTTAGCTACGCGTGACGTTATGTGAAACGGTAAGGTGGATCCCTTATCGATAGTGTGCACTTAGTAAATTATAGGCAGTAGAGAAACGGAATGAGGTTGCAACGCAGAACCTACTTAGCGATTTTGTGTGAACTGCTCGCAACCGCGCGCGCGCTGCCCGGAGGAACACTTTTTCAAATGAAAAAGTATAATGAGTGGCACTTTTGCGTCATTTTGACGAGTAAAATGACTAAATTTCAAATCATCTCGTTCAAAGCACTTCCACGAATTGATTCCTCATTTCAGCCAAGGAGATGACCGCAACGTCGTGGCGGCTCCAATGGCCTCTATCGAAGAAGAGATGACAATCAGTCAGATCACAGCCGCTTCCTGATCGATCGATATCCGGCTAATTATCACCAAAGAGCTTTCATCGCCGAGTAACTTTCGACTCGGCACCTTTACAGGCCTTTGCCTTCCATATTGGACCTCCCTTGTTTGTTTTACCCTTGTTTTCCAGAATTTTCCATTTTCAGTCGTGAATCAATCAATACCGGTATATTTCATTGCGTCTAGTCTATATGAGGAACTCATTTTTTTGTATTTTTCGTCCGTACACGTGCCTAACGCCTTATATTTGAGCAAATTAGATTAATTATTGCTATAAAATGTTCATATTTGATAATGTTTAACTTATCTCTGAAAATATCCATATGAAGTGTTAGAATAAATTTTTTGATCCTTTTTTTGAGCT